GCTCCAAATGGTCCAGAACTATTGTTGCAAAACTATTTGTGCATTCTAACTTTGGTGTTTTGTAACTGTAGATTTTTTTTTTATCCAGAAAAAAAAAAGTTACACCTCTTCAAATTCTTAAGTACACAAATTGTGTTTTGCGAGTTGCACATCAAAAATGTCTTGATTTTTGGCCCCTCCCCTAAATGAAGCAAGCCTCGATACAGGCTTAGTGGAAACGCCCCCTCTACTACTCGACACACGCGTCGAAGCCTCGCCTTATCTGGTAACATCACTAAAAAAAAAAGTCCATCGATTTAGACCTCGACAAAAAAAAGAAATGTGATGCTGATTTCAGTCTTTTCTGTTTGTAATTTAAATGGCTAAGAATATCCTGCAAACTGCTGGAAGTTCTGGCAGACTGGGTTTACACTAGACCCTGATAAACCGACTAGAATAATAACAAAAAAAAAAGATCAAATTACCTCTAAGATCTTGTGTCACAAAAAAAAAGATCTGCTTCTTAACTGTTATTTCTACGACAAGAGTATTAAGGCCAGGCTAGAGATTTTTTTTCTCTATTTCGAGAATAAAGTGGTAACATTACTAGAATAAAGTTGTATTTTATGACAACTCTTCCCAGAATCTCTTTCTTCCCTAAAATTAGGAATGTGGAGCATCATGTGAAGTTCTACTTTAGCATCGGTTTGACAAATCGAAGTACACTTCGCTGCAGCAAACAGAAAGGGGCGGGGACCGACCTTTCAGTCAGTCCCATACCTTATTTGGAAATGGGACTATTGCATTCCGGAAATGAAGGGGGCGCTATTTTCATAATATAAATGCCTTAAAGTTGGCCAAAATTGTCGACTAAATGTTTTACAGACCAAACCTTTTTTCCATCTAGTTCTTATTAAATAAGCCAAAGGCTATTATATTTTAGATTTTAACTTATTTATTTTAAGAGTACCGTTCACAACATCAAAATATATTATTTGAACTTCAGCACCAGCATGTATTTGTTTATATCTGTTTTCTTAATCAGCGATGGAGTGGGGATCTGTCCAGGGTCAGCAGCCTTCATG